TTACCTTAGCCTCAAAGAACCTACCTTTTGAGGGTTCCTGATTATGAAGTCTTCATAAAAGTCCCGAAAACAGATTGGTTCTTTGGGGTCAAGGTAGGGCTTAGGTCCCTTCCCCAACGGCACCTGCCAGGCACTCCACTCCAGCTGGAGGCCCAAGAACACGGAGTTGGAAACGATGACCTGGCAGGTTCCGGGCAGCTCAGGGGGGAAGTCTGTGACTGCCCAGAAGCCTGAAACTCGAAAGTCCTGAACCTTCCCCCCCTCCCCCCTTCGAAACCCTAACCCTGAACCCCAAACCCCTAAACCGTAAACCCCCTAAACCCTAAACCCTAAACCACCCGCCCGGTCTCCCCCCCTCCCCGCCATGCCGAAGAAGACGTTGAAGGCCAAAGAGTTCGCGAGCTTCGCGGCCTTCTGCTGCATCTTCCGGGCCCAGGACTGCAGCTTGGTCCTTTGGGGCGCGTCGGTTGAGGGGGACTTAAGGGTTTTACCAAAGGGCCGTTGAGGGTTTAGGGTTTAGGGTCTATAGGGTTTAGGGCCGTTTAGGGTTTCGGGTTTAGGATTTATAGGGTTGAGGGTTTCGGGTTTTAAAGCTTAAAGCTACGGTGTTTAAACGGGACCGCGCATGACGGCTGATACCGAAGAGGACTGGCAACTCGGAAGCCCTACCCCTAAACCCTCAACCCCGAAACCCTAAATCCCTAAACCCTCAACCCTTAAACCCTAAATCCCTAAACCCTCAACCCTAAATCCCTAAACTCCTAAACCCCTAAACCCTCAACCCTACCAGAGGTATCTGAACGCCGCGCTTTCCGATCCGAATGCAGCAGCAAGCCACAGGGCCACACGAAGAACAACGCAAAAACGCCCAAATTTCCCTAAGCCCCATAGAAACTCGCAGAGCCCTAAACGCCCCTGACCCATATAGCTCTTTAGCGGGCCCCAAAGAAAGCGTATTAAACTCCCCAAACCCAAACCCTGAAACCTACACCCCTAAACTCCCAAACTCCTAAACCCTAAAACCCCAAACCCTAAACCCTAAACCCTATAAACCCTAAACCCTAAACTCCCAAACTCCCAAACTCCCAACCCCCCTCAACAAAAAAAAAGAAACACGGCGCCTGGTCTTCGACGTCTGCCGCGACGCCATGGCCAAGTTCTTCCTGGGCTTCGCTTCGCTCGACGCCGCTTCGCTCGGTGGCTTTTGGGGGTTTTGAGGGTGCTAAGAGGGGGGTTAGGGTTCAGGGATGTCGCGGGGGGGGGGGGCGGTTTAGAGTTTAGCTATCGGGCTTTGGGGTTTAGGGCTTCAGGGGTTTAGGGCTCTCCCAGTGTGCTCGAGCCCACTGCAATAATTACTATGAGAAGTTTCCCAATGACCCTTAATTAATCACACTGGGGGTGCTCTGCAAACTCTAAACCCTAAACTCTAAACCCCAAACCCTAAACCCTACGCCCCGAGCCCAGCTTCATGGACTCGATCCGGTCGGCCTCGGACTGCGCGAGCTCGTAGTCCTCCGAATGGATGGACCTCCTCTGGGGCTTCTCCTCCACCTTGTCTGGATCCTTCCGGGGCTTTAAGGACTGGAGCTTTATAGGGTTTTAGGGCTTTAGGGATTTAGGGAACTTCTTTAAGGGTTTAGGCCTGGTTCTCATGCGCAGATGCAAAGTGTCCTCGTTTTGCCGCGACCGGGTGGACCTGTTGGAGAGCCGGTTCGTCATCTGCGCCGGGGTCGCCTGAACCCATTCCGAAGCTCTGTGCAGGAGGACCCGGAAGATCTTTCATTCAGTACCCACATGGATACAGATTGCTTGATGGGCTAGATAAATACTGTGGGTCGGTGGCAGAGGTAGGCAGGCAAGGCAGGTGGTGGTCCAATTTTCGCGTTTGTCAAAGCCCTTTGCTACTGCTTCCCGGTTTGTCTAGTCCCTTGTGAGCGGTTTGCTTACGTGCTTCTCACAGTATCTCGTCTCTATAGGCCAGGTTGATCGTTTCTACCTCCTTTCGAACACTCTATAATTAGTCTCGTTCGAGCCGTGCTCCTGTCGCTCGAAAAAGCAAAATGAAGCCTAGTCAGTTTGCTTGCGACTTGTTTCAGTCGGCTGCTGCTTTACAGTCAAAGCACGCCAAATCCTTGCTTTTAAACTAAATGAGCGGCGATGAGCGGTACACTTGAGGGAACCCTGTACAACCCCAGGACTCTACGATGATAAAATTGCTCATTAAGCGATAAGCAAGGCTCGGAACAGGTAGGCTAAGCAAAGGCTTGTCGTAGGACAGCAACAACAGCCCACGGTGCCCCTTGACTATCCGCAGCTATCCAGATCTACTCCTCCCCCACTTCACGACCAAATCCCAAACCCAAACTAGGGTTTAGGGTTCCTAAATAAGGGTTCTAGGCTAGTTTAGGAACTAAACCCGCAAAGCGGGTGCTTGCGCGAGCTGGAGCCCTGCCGCCGCTCGAACGAGCATCAACCGGCCATGTTGCGAAGGACCTGGGCGCCTTTTTCGGACGTCCTGCTGTTGACAGGATGTGGCTCAGATGCTGTGTTCCATAAAAAAAGGATGGGGACCTAGTGAACAGCTTCAAACTGATCCTGCACAGCACTACTGTCGCCTCCAAGCGCAGCATTACCCCAGGTCACAACCGATCCATCGCCAAGAATCGCAGCAAAAGCGCCGTGAGAGGCTTGGATCTGCTGCACATTCTTCAGCTGGCCCTGCACAACACTGCTGTCGCCCCCGGCGTCAGCATGACCCCAGGTCACAACACATCCATCACCAAGAAGGGCAGCAAAAGCACCATCGCGACTGGCTCGGATCTGCAGCACATTCTTCAGCTGACCTTGCACAGCACTGCTGTTGCCACCAAAGGCTGGCTGACCCCACGTCACAACCGATCCATCCCTACGGACAGCAGCAAAGGCGGCACGACAGGCTTGGATCTGCTGCACGTTGTTCAGCTGAACCTGCACAGCACTACTGTCGCCACCAAGCGCAGCATTACCCCAGGTCACCACCGATCCATCGCCAAGAATGGCAGCAAAAGCACCGCCAGAGGCTTGGATCTGCTGCACATTCTTCAGCTGACCCTGCGCAGCACTACTGTCGCCTCCAAGCGCAGCATTACCCCAGGTCACAACCGATCCATCACCAGCAACGGCAGCAAAACCGCGACAGCCTTGGATCCACTGCACATTCCTCAGCTGAGCCTGCACAGCACCACTGTCGCCACCATAGCTAGCACGACCCCATGTCACAACGGATCCATCGCCAAGGAGAGCAGCAAAAGCACGGGCAACAGCTTGGATCTGCTGCACATTCTTCAGCTGGGCCTGCACAGCACTACTGTCGCCACCGAAGGCAGCACTACCCCAGGTCACAACCGAGCCATCGCCAAGAATGGCAGCAAAAGCAGCAGAAGACGCTTGGATCTGCTGCACATTCTTCAGCTGATCCTGCACAGCACTACTGTCGCCACCACAGTCACCATTACCCCAGGTCACAACGGATCCATCGCCAAGGATGGCAGCAAGAGCGTTGACAGAGGCTTGGATGTGCTGCACATTCTTCAGCACACCCTGCACAGCACTGCTGTCCCCGCCAAACCTATCATTACCCCAAGTTACAACAGATCCATCGCTACAGACGGCAGCGAAAGCGCCATCAGTGGCTTGGATCTGCTGAACGTTTTGCAGCTGAGCCTGCACAGCGCTGCTGTCGCCACCATTCGCAGCATCACCCCAGGACACCACGGATGCATCGCCAAGAATGGCAGCGAAAGCCTCACCAGAGGACTGAATTCCAACACTGCGTATATGCAAGGTCAGCGAGTCACCGTTCTGAATCCGGGAATTCGTGATCTCTGCGCGTCCGTCCAGAACGACTCCAGAGGCATCCAGTAGTCTTCCTTTTCTGCCTCCGAGCGCGACCTGCGCCCGTCGTTTCAACGTCTCCACGCTTTCGCCCAGGCGTGCTTGCACAGTAGCTGTCTTGCCACTGAGCAGCGAAACTTCCACGGTCATCGACATGAATGTTGCACGGAGTCGAACACCCGCAACCCCTCGGGTTGTAGGATCTACGAGTAGGGCCGAGGCCTGCAGCCGAAATCGACATGGTCGAAGCTTAGGCTTAGACCCAGCAAGAGCTCCGGTCCTTAAAGAACTAAGTCTAAGTGAAGTTTATAACCCCAGACTCCAGACCCTAAACCCTATAAACCCTAAGGTTAAGTTCAGGAGCTTGAAGACAGGGCCACAGATGGCGCGGTCTTTGGGCCTTTATAAGATCTGACACAAAGAGGTTCGGGAGCTGAGCGTCCAAAAAGGAGGATCCTCTTGGCTCCCCTTGTTTTTCAGGGTTTAGGGTTTAGGGTTTAGGGTCTAGGGTTTAGGGCTTAGGGTTTAGGAGGGTCTAGGGTCTAGGGTTTCGGATTTAGGGTTTAGGGTTTAGGGTCTATAGCCAACCCAAACCCCAAAAACAACAAAGAAAATGGATCCTTAACATTGACCAAGCCAGGGTTTAGGATTTAGGGATTAGGTTTTAGGATTTATAGGGGTTTTATAGAGTTTCGCAAGTAGGGTTCGGAACAAGCCGTGGCACAGCATCCGAAGCCTAAGCCCTCTCGCCCGAAACGATCCTACGGGCCTGTGCGGTTTAGGGTTTAGGGTTTAGGGTTTAGGGTTTAGGTGAAACCTTGTTCGCAAACTCTAGTCTCATTGAAACCCTGCTCAATGCTCACTCCGTCATTAACATGCAGCTTCGTCGGATCCTTTGGGTGCCCCGGTGCTTCCACGAGACCAGCCAGGGCCTAACCCCAAAGCCTGGCCTAACCGAATTCAAAAACTAAGATGTTGATAACCAGATGTAAACCTCACAGATACAAGTTCCCGCGCTGGAGCGTGCCGCCGGCCATGGCCGACGCGCATCTAGCTAGTCCACCCCCTACGCGCCTATGCTCACGCAAAGGGTCGAGATGGAGCGCAAGTGAGGGCTGGTGGTGCTGGTGGTGCTGGTGGTGCCTCACTGGTGGCGGTGGTGGTGGTGGCCGTGCCACAATCCACAAAACATAAAGGCAGATGTAGATTTGTGACACGGAACTCCAGCCCTTTGCAGAAACCCGCCTGGCGAGCCCAATCCGAGATCGCGCGTGGTGGATGCTCGTCCAGCTTAGAGTCCAGCTTGGAAAGCCAGGATTCAAGCCGCAGAATCAATGCATTGTGCTGCTTCTGCAGCACCTGCTGCCCACATGGGGGGGGGCATGTCGAGTTGTGCTTCAGGCTTAGAAGTGTCCTTGAGGGCTACCGATGGCATGCCGGAGCTTGACACAAAGGCGAAACCCAGTCCATTCATCAAAAAAGCTGGCGGTAGCCCCGCGCCTCTTCGACCAGCTTCTGCATCTGATCCTTTTGATCCGCTGGGGCATCGCAGTTCGTGTCCATTGCTGGACAGAAGCAGCTGCTTATCATCTCCGCGATTTGAGCCAAGCTGCAGCAGGCCGTTTTCCATCCCGTCCTGAAGCTCAAAATCTCAATCGCCCTAAGCCCCCCGTGTATTGACCCCCTTCTGGGCCCTTCTGCTGAACTCTAAACCCTAAACCCTAAACCAAGAACTAGCGGCCTCAGCTGGGGGTCGCCACAGGAGGAGGACGGCGAGCCCGACTGAAACGTTATCTTTAGCTCGATGCTGCAGTGGGAACCTCGAAAGGTGACATTTTTACGTGAGGGTCTTGAACCCAATGACCTAAGGACCCCAACAGTATGCAGAATAATAGCCTTCTATAGGTTTTGGGCCATTCTTTCACCGACTTTGAGGGGTCTAGCTAGTAGTGATCACCATGGGATACCATGAAAGTCAGGCAGCCCAGGAAGTGTGACACACCGTGATCCGAGATATTGAAACTGCCAGTAGCATTTTAGGTGGCCACATCGCTGCCTAAGCCACACATTCGGCGATCGATGCAACATGGGGACGATCACCCCCATCAACGGAATCACTCCAAGATTCTCCCCAAGGCACCGACACGGGCATCTCTCAGTGCCCGTGTCCTAGACATGGGCCCTCACACAGTGCCCGTGTCGGATGATCCCCGATGGGCTCTCTCAGAGTGCCCATAATAAGACCACGAATACAATAATACAATACTGACAGACTACCGTGCGTACCGGATGTGAGAGATGCTTGTGGGCATGTTCAAGGGGATGATCGTCATGTCCCTGGGGGATGAGTTTGGCCGTGGGTGTCCAGCCTTACAGTAGCAACTATGATGTCGATGGGAATGATGATGCAGATGGCGACAATGACGAGCATGATGACAACGCTGCGAGGAGTGTGCTGGTGTTGGCAATGGTGGTTGGCGGTGGCGATGGTGGCGACGCTGGTGGCGCTCTGCGTCATGGTACCCGCGGACTATTTTAACAATTTATTGACTCACCTCGAACTGCACACAGCTCTCGCTTACACAGGCGAAGGCCACAGACGGTGGAACCGCCGCAGACCTGAGCTTTGAAGCTGCCGCTCCCGAATTATTGAAAGTTGACCCACGATATAGCCGCTCAGGGCGCGGCTGTGGCAGCACAGGGGGCGGGAATCCGACCGGTGGACTGCCAGAAGAGAGCTCTCAAAGGTCTTCGGTGGCCGCAAAAGATGTGCCTCAAGCTTGGTGGTGTAAAGAGCGAGGGCCCTGGCGGAAGTGGATACCTCTCAGCGAAACGGGGAGCTCCGAAGAGGAGTGCAGAAGAGTCTCCGGCCTCGGCAGGCCATCGCCGCGTCCCGGGGTTTGTCCCTGTGCCTCACAGGCACTCAGCGCTTCTCCGCAGCGGCGCAGGCTTGCAGCACTTTGCTCGCTGAAGTCTTCGGAGCGATTTTGGGGCGCCGGCAGGCAACCCGTAGGGCCTCGAGGTCACGGGAGGATTCCGAAGTGCAAGCCGTGCGAGCCGTGTAAGCTCGGGGGAGAAGCCGAGAGCCCAGCTGATAGGCGCCCGGGAAGCCTCACAGGTGCAGAAGGCAGCTGCAGTGAACGTAGGCTTTGGGTAGTTGCGTAGCGATGTGACTTAGACTTCCAGCACCCTCACATACCCTTCCGGCACGGACAAAAACAAGGACTTCCAGCAAACATTCACGTTGAACCCTCACCCTCATCCCGTAGTCTCTGTTGCTCCGACTCTGTCTTGCTTAGAGAAAAGCAGCTACTAGGCTACTACTAGGAGGTGCCTGTTGTGGTCTGAGGCATGCGAGGGGTCGGCCCTCCTGTGCCGAAGTCAGCTTTGCCCCCACATGGCCAACTCCTATAAATTTCTCTGCTCGCCCCTCTTCGTCCTTGCCCAGGAGGAGGCCAGGCGTAGTGCCTGCATTGCCGGACTCAAAGACAGGGACGAAAGACTCCCTAACCCCCCAGGTACCTACTAAAAAGAGTACTAGAGCCCCTAGGGCCCTATAGGGCCCTATATAGTAGGTACCTGGAGGGTTAGGGACTGCCCTCTGCACAAAAAGCCGAGGTCCCAACGCTGCGGGCAGCCCGGGCATCGTTGGGATGCCGGCCGCGGCCGGCGGGTTCGCTGGAGGAGGATTTCCCGGGACCGGGGCCTTCAGGTGCATTCTGCTCGGTTTAGGGTTTAGGGTTTAGGGTTTAGGGTTTAGGGTTTAGGGTTTAGGGTTGGCTCAGACATCAACTATAGTATCTATAGGTAGCGAGGGTGACGGAGTGCTTGGCCCCCGCGCTTGAGGGAGCCGCTGGCCGTTCGTTCCAGCCTCTTGCGTTGCAGCTCAGAACCAGCGCGATCGAATCGAGAAAGGCTCCGGTAGCCGCTGAAGCCGAGGGGCGGCGGGCGGGGGCTCCAGTGCAGGTGGCGCAGGCCTCAGAGAGGTGGAGACTTTGCGGTTTAGGGGCCTGAAGAGTAGGGACTCCCAGGAAAGCAACCCATTTTCAGGGACTCCGAGGATGGAACTTTGGATTCTCCATGCCCGAAGTACGCCGCTCGCCCTGCAGCGCAAGCTCTCTGCGCTGTGTTCTCTTCGGACGCCAAAGGGCGGTATTCACGTGTATTGCGGTATTGACGTGCTGGAACTGGAACTGTTCGCAATGGGGAATGGACCTGCACAGACGACGGCGACTACGACCAAGACGCCGACAATTCCACACGCAGCAGAAGCGTCACAATCACAACAACCGCGGCAACAGCAGCGACTGTAACAACAACCACCACCACGCCAACATCATCGTCGGCATCAGATTGATATGTCGCTGTTGCTATTGCTATTGCAGTCTTGCTTCTTCTTATTCGGGCTATGTATCTTCATGAACCCCAGCGTGATGGCAATCTCAGATATTAAAAGCACGGTCAGCCTGACAGGGATGCTGTGATGTTCTGTTGGGGCCTTCCGGCGCTGGCCACTTTGGTCCAGCTTCAAGGCGATTTGTTTCTTGTACCTTGGCTTCTTGCAGGGCCCGGACAAGGCCTGTCATCTGCGCTTACAATCGGGTTCGGTGGATTCGGCACTCCAGGAAGCACAGTCGGCTTCAACGTGCTCCAACTCTCTCAGGCTCCTGCTTGCTCAGGAGCTCGCGTGGAACCTGAACATGGCTGTGCGCAAAAGGTGAGTTTGCTCTTGGGATCATTGCTACCGCCAGGATCCCGCCGGGGGGCGCAGGCGTTCGAGGAGTCTTTATCAGACCTAGGACCTAAAGTCCTAGAGGCTTTAGGGGTTCAGGGTTTAGGGGTTTAGGCTCGTTTAGGCCCTGAAAACCCATAAACCCTAAACCCTAAACCCCTAAACCCCTGCAAGAGGTCCCCTGCCTCCCTCCCGTCTTTCGTGTAGTCGGCTGCCCTTTCCCGGACAAGGGCCTCCAGAGTAGAGGTGCAGTTCTCTGGGCATTGTGGGGGTTTCCGCAAAATAGGGGACCCTAATGTAGTACCCTAAATAGTAGGATCCTTATTATACGGACCCAAAACAATTTACCCCTTAGTTTCGGAAACTCCCTTGTGGGAGCTGCGGCGCGGAGCTCTTTGCGCCTGCTCCTTGGCCACTTTCATGGCCTCCAGCCGCGAGTAAACCTTGTGGGTGTCGTGGAAAGACCTGGGCAACTGCCGGAGTGCAACAAACCAGGGGTTCAGGGCTTCTTTTTTTTGAGGGCCAGGGTTTAGGCTTTAGGGGTTTAGGGTTTAGGGCACTTCCGTCGCAACTCTGCAGAAACCCCCAACCCAACTTTCCGCAAGATACAATGGGCCTTCGGTGTCGCCTCCGACTTTTTTCTATACGTTCCTCGGCCTCTTGCATGCGCTTCTCTCGGGGGATGCTGTGGAGCGACGTATCCACGCCAATCCCTGCAGTGCACAGCGGGTTGTTCGTTTAGAGCCGAGTCGGCGGAGCTCGGATTTATGGCGTGGAGATGGTCGAGTTAGGGCTTGAAACTGTTCAACCAGTGCAGTTTTGGCCATCGTAGGAGATGGTTGGAGGGGCAGCAATCAGAGCAACAGCGACATGTGGGCAGATGAAGACTCGAGTGCGAGGTCACAGCACAGATGCATCTTTCCATCCGCACATGAATTCGTGAGGTCTATAGTCTAGAGGCATCTGGTGAAACGCGAACATCAGCTTTCAATTCTGACATCGCCGGTTAGCATGTGCAAGGACTCCCGGCTTGGGAGCCGTGCTGCCTGGTGCCTGCACGGAGCCGCTCACTTTTCGAGCAGCCTGAGTGGAGAAGTGAGACATACCAACCCCCAGGCAGCGACACATCCCCGAACTCTGAACTCTAAACCCTAAACCCTTAAGCCCTAAAACCCCAAAACACCTAAAGTCCCAGCGGCTGGCGGTCCAAGTCCAGCCTTCCTTTCCGTCTCTCGGAGCTTAGCTGCTCGCGGAGGTAGCGGTTCCTCGGCGGCACAGCCGTCGCGAGCGAGCTCTGTCGCAAGCCAACGAAAGACCGTGAGAGAGCTCTCCGGTCAGCTTTTCCCTTCGGGGTTAGTTTATTTTTGTTGAGGGCCTTTTTCCGTCTGCCAAAGTCTTGACTCGGGAAGCTACGTAGTTAGGGTATACCTATAGTCTCCATTGTAGTTCCTTTTTGGGGTTACCTTTTAGGATCCTGAATACAAAATTGGTTAAACCAAAAAAGGGAACTACAATGGAGACTGTAGGTAGGGTTTAGGGCTTAACTATACTATAATATACTATAAATACTATAATATACTATAATATACTATAATATACTATAATATACTATAATAGAGTATAATAGAATATAATATACTATAATAGAATATAATAGAATATAATATACTATAATAGAATATACTATACTATAATATACTATACTATAATATACTATAATATACTATACTATACTATACTATAATATACTATAAAATACTATACTATAATATACTATAATATACTATACTATAATATACTATAATATACTATAATATAATATAATATAATAGAATAGAATAGAATAGAATAGAATATA